TTTACATTGCGACCCATTCCTGCTCTTTGAATTTCGCAATAATTTAAAGAATTATTAGCTTGGCCATACTATACTAGCTACCATTATGAAGGAAACTTTGAGATGATAAAATTGAAGGAAAACATGAGGGGGTTTCTATAAGAAGGAAAAAAGTAATGAAGAAAATGTGGAACACACTGCGCATCATGCATCAACATGTCGGACAGATGAGTCTTTCCCACATCCCCACCAACCCACCCAACATTTCACTTGGCTTTGGCTTATTTCAATTCTCAAATTCTCAATCACCACAAAACGACAATCCGAAAGCAGCACGCGTGCCCACTTTCTCAGATTCCCCTCTGTCTCTCTCTTTCTCTCACGCACACGCGCCTTTTTTTTTTTTTTTGTCCACTTTCCGTCAAAAAACCATCACGTGACGCCTTGTTTTGGTATTTGCAGGGAGGCGGTGACTGCATCCAAGCAAACGGCAACAGTAACGGCGGTGGGGCCCTCGCCCAAAATTCCAACAACAACAACCAAACGACAGCGTCAACGTCAAACGACACCCTGACGATGACGGAGCACCAGGTAGCGAAACTGATGGAGGAGGACATGGGTTCCGCCATGCAGTACCTTCAAGGCAAGGGCCTTTGCCTCATGCCCATTTCCCTCGCCACGGCCATCTCCACTGCCACGTGTCACTCCAGGAACCCCTTGATCACCGCCGCCTCCGCCGGCAACCAGATTCCGACCAACGCCGCCCACGCGAACCCCGCAGCCGCGTCCAACGGCGAAGGGCCGTCGTCCCCGAGCATGTCCGTGCTGACGGTGCAGTCGGCCGTGGTGGGCAATGACGGCGCCGTCAAGGACGCTGCCTCCGTTTCGAAGCCGTGATGACGGCGTTTGGATGACTTTTGGTGTGAAATAGACGAAGCAGACAAAAAAAATAAAAACATAAAGTGCCAAAGGACAGAAAATGACGTGTGTTTTTCAAAAAAGAGCCGCTAAAGTCTACGAAAATAAGGCGTCGGGGATACGGAGGGGGTCGACTCGACGACGCCGTATTTACCTAGACTTTGTTTGGCTGATGCTAACTTTCAACCAACCAATCACAAACTCCACTATGCCAATTACCTACTTCTCCCTCTTCTTTTTCTTCATTATCTCTTTCGCTTTGGGTTTCTTCTGTTCATTGTTTTTAAATTTAGTGGATTTCTTTCTCTTTTTCCTTTTTCGTTTTCCGTCTCAATAACAAGTTGCTCTGCTCTGTCTTTGTACTACCGTTTTCATTTTTTAATGCGTTCCATTCACTTTTAACTGCTATTATGTTATGGACCTTTAAATTATGCTATTTCATTAGGAGTATATTTCCGCGTTGATTACTTGATTGTAGGCTTGAGATTAAAAATTAATATAAAGAAACTAGTACTCGTTCTCATTAAATATAACATATACGTGAGTAGAAGTTTTTGCTTACTTGAAGGATTAGTAAAATCAACTCTGTATCTACTCAATATTTTGGATTTTTTTTTTCTTAAAAACATTAAATAAATTTTATTTTAATATTAACAAAATAAAAAAAATGACAAATTTACTTTAACCTCTTAAGTTATAATGCTAGAGAATCCTTTTCCTCGTGAAAATATATTTTCTTTTGTATATAGTAATTTAATTGAAATTTTATGGTAATCTCTTTTCTTATAAATAATTTTGTTTATTTTTGGATAGTGAAAAATTTTATTAATGCAAAAAGTGAATTTTTGATCTTAAGATATGACCAAACTAGTCACAACAGTGTACATATATGTTTAGTGCGTTTGGTTTTCACATATGATTTAAAATGGATTTTTACGTATTTTAATACTCTAAAGGGAATGTTTAGTACACAAAATATTTATATATTCTTGAGAATCTTAAAGTGAACATTTTAGTGTTCTATGTTTGACAATTATTTAAAAAAAAAAATTTCAAGAATATAATTTTTTGATAATTATTTTTATCTCTCTTTTTGCCTATTCCCCTCTCTCTCTTTCTCTTTTTTCCTAATCTCTCTTTCTTTCTCTTTTTATTTCTCTTTCTCCCTTTGTCTCCTTATCTCTCTCACTCTCCTTTTCTCTCTCCTTATCCCTCCCACTCTCCCTCTCCCTCTCTCTCTCTCTGTCTTTGTATTTCTCTCTCTCTCTTGTATTTCATTATTTCTTAACCTTGTCAATGTTAGTAATATTATTAAAGTCTGTTTTATTTCTATAGTTTAATGATATTTGTTTAAAAAAATTAATTAATTTATTTATTTATTTTAATGAAATGAAATATATATTTCTATCCTTCTTAATTGTTAGAGCATTTTTCTTTGTTTATTTTTTTGTTGAATTCTGTATTCAAATATTTTTAATTATATGTTTTTAACTTTTTAAAAATAATTTAATGTCATATTTGTAATAAATTTTGAGTAAATAAATATATCTAATAAATTCATTTTAATAAAGGATATTTTTGTAAAAAATATTTATATTCCCAAAAATATAGTAGTGTAACAAAATATGAAAATTTTTAATTCTCGGAAGTTCTATATAAATACTCTTAGGAACTGTTCTAGTAAGGGGATAGCAGCTAGAGAATCCTTAGTGATGTAAACCCTAAGAGAACCTAGCCGCCGTCCAGACCTAGAATATTCAAGAATGAGAATAACCTACCTTTCACCAGTTCCCTTTCTCCTTATTTATATGGGTCCCATACACGTGATCTAGATCTTTGATTCTCATTCCCTTAAATGTGTGCGGATCCCCCTCTGTAATGTGCCTATGAACCGCATTTATGATTGTAATCAAATCTATGCAAGAATCACGAAAATCACAACCTTGATTAGTTTTACCGGAACTTACTCATTAATACACCTATGACTAGCCTAAAGTCTAGGTTGTTCGGTCAGATGGGGATCAAGAAGGTATATTCTGTTCAGATTGCTCAGAAAATTGGAGACCAGGAGGGTACACAAACCCTCCTGGCTTACGCGTTATCAAGGCGGAGATATTGATCGGTCAGCTCAGAAAATCAGAGATCCAGAGGGTACACTGTCCTCTTGGCTCAAACGTTGGTGACGCGTAGAGATATTGATCGGTCAGGTCAGAAAATTGGAGATCCGGAGGGTACACAACCTCTCTTGGCTCGAGCGTTGGTGATGCATAGAGACATTGATCGGTCAGCTCAGCAAATTGGAGATTCAGAGGGTACACAACTCTCTTGACTCGAGCGTTGGTGACGCGTAGAGACATTGATCAGTCAGGTTGAAAAATTGGAGATCCAGAGGGCACAGAACCTTTATGAGTAACCAATCATATTTTAATTATTCCGAGAAATCATGATTCCCATAATTTATAATTCCCAGGAATCATGATTGTTGAGTATGAGAAAACTTCTCTCTTACCAAACAATCCCCTAAATGATAAAACAATTATAGCCATATATTGGAAGAATAAAAAACGTGGGTTACGTACCAACCACACTTTAAACCATATAATTATCTAAGGGTACTTGATTTGCCAATTTCTTTGGTTATATTTTCCCTTATCACATAAAATAATGTTAAAAATATGTATACTCATGTACCAAAAAATATTTTCTTTGGATATATTTCTTAAAATAAGTTTAAAATTGAAAACATTTCCACTATATTTTAGTTATATTTTTTTATATTATGTTTTCTTCTATTGTATCTTCTCGTTGGAGAGACCAAGTTTCCCACAACGGAGTGACAACCTCCACACTCGCTCTTTCCATACAATCACTAGCATAATTAGCATCACAATAACCTACTAAAAATAATCTTTACCTTTCTCAAAACAAATACCAAGACTAGTAATGCCTATTAAATATTCAAATGTATGCTTTGCTACAGTTAAATGTATTTCCCTTGGGTTAGATTGGAATTTAGATCATAGGTAAAAGTTATACAAGATGTCCGTGAATATAGAAGAGATCATATCATTCCTTTGTAGGTGGTTTGATTCACCTTCTTTGAGCCTTTGTCCATGCCTACATAGTTGATGGATGCATTGGTGTGCTCATGGGCTTAGTATTATCCATCTTGAACTTCTTTTATGCATTATATTGGGCTTATTTAACCTTATGAGTGTCTTAAATTAGTAATTTATTATGATTCTAATTGGTTTTAATTCTAAATTCTAATTAATATTCATAATTTTTTCCACTTTGAATTGTTGTCTTATGTAAGCCATATCTTAAGCTCCCAAACATGGAATTGGACGTTCTTGGTCTCCCTAAAACTATAAGACAAAGATCTATAATAGTATCTCTCATAAGCCAAAGCTAATTTAGACGTTTTGAGGCCCAATAATTTGTTTGAATCTTTTGCCTCTACACTTGAGTGAGATTTCTCATTTGGAGCAAAACTTAAGAGAAATTTAGACATGAAATAAGTGGGTTGGGCTTGTAATCAATTGGATTTAAGCTACTAAGTTAGGTGTATAAAAACAAGTGTTAGTAGCTTGTGTTGACCACTTGATTCTCATTTATTTTTTAGATTTTACACTTATTTTTCTTGCATGTTTTTTTTCTTCCAAATTCTTAATCTCTCTATCTCTCTCACTCTCACACACACACACACATTTCTCTCCAAATTGTTCTTGCTGATTTTTCTGTAGCATTTTGATGGAGATGCTTGGCTAATCCGCTTATCAATTAAAGGTTTTAAGATTTGTAGTAAAATTTGAGTTTTTGATTTAATTTTTTTTGTACGAATTCTTCATCTTCTCATTTTCTTTTCTATATCTAATTTCATGATCGGTGGTTATGAAGTTCAGTTTTGGATCTATATTAGAATTAGATTAGGATTGATTAATCCAATTTAAACAAGGATTAGCTAGTTGATTGAACACAATCACCATTCTTGAAATTTTAGAAATTGTGAAATTCATAGAGCCTTAATAGGGATAGGTCTAATGTATATTTTGTTTAGCAAATAACATGCAATATTCACTTCTTCTACCCATAAATGTTTATGAGTTGAATTATCATTCAACAAGATTCTAGTCATCTCGTAATGACCTGTTCTTTCTCTCAACAACACCATTTTTTTGGTGGTGTTCGTTGTGTAGAAAAGTTGTGGAGAATTCTGTTCTCCTCATAGAACCTTTAAAAAAAATTCAATTTCACCCCCATCACCACTTCTAATAGAAGCAATGTATATGCCTTTCTCATTTTGAACCCTTTTACATAATATATAAAATGCCTCAAAGGACTCAACCTTATGGGTCGAGAATAGAACTTATGTCCATATAGTACAGTTGTCCACTATGACCAACCCACACCTGTTACCGTTAATAGACTCATTTTTGGTTAGATGAAACAAATCAATATGTAAGAGCTTTAAAAGCCTTGAGGTGGAAACAACATTTTTGGATTCATAGGAAGTTTTAACTTGTTTCCCTTTTGGCAAGCTTTGCAAAGCTCACTAGAGTTGCATTAAAGATTTCGTCGTCTTACAAGGTGATGCTTTTTCAGCTTTGAGATTAATCTCAAGCTTACATGTCCAAGTTTCTTGTGCCATGCCCAATGGTTTTTAATTGATATAAGGCATATTACATTTTTGTTTCAATTCTTCCAACTTATCCAAGTTTCAGTGCTTGTTAATGTGATCACAATTATGATAAGTTCTACTAAGGAAAGATAATTCATTGACTATGGTTTGGAAACATCCAAACATGGTTTGAATATTTTCATTTTCTTCCTTGTTGAACAACTCATACTTATGAGGCAACAAGTTTAGCTTGTTATGTTTTTCCTCTTTAGAGCTTTCATATCTAGGAGCTAAAGTGTCCCATATTTGTTTAGAACTCTTGAAGTTGTGTACCTTGGTGTACTCATCTTTATATAGTGCACATAGAATGCAATTGTGAGCCTTCAAGTTAAGTAGATAGCTTTGATTTTGCTCATCACCCTATTTGTCTTTCGGGATCTCTTTCAATTTGTCATTCAATAGAATGTAGTCCTCTCTTTCTAAAATGTCCCATGGTCAAGTTGTCATGCATTAAAGAAAGAAATCATTCTCTTCTTAAAGAGAGGTGGATGATTGACAACTTGTCCATCATTTTCCATTAGAGTCACTTATAAGGGAACTAAGGATGTTAGACTAAGACCTGTTGCCATTATGAGATTTTCATCATGAAGGAGACTTAAATTATTGATGAAATGTTTGGGAGATTCCAAACAATCCTCAATGGTCTATAGACACCCAATTTCATCCAGACCAACTAAAGCAATGAAATGGACGTCCGTCATCAAAGAAATGGAGCTCCCAAGCATGA